ATTATTTTTAGACTTAATGAACTTCCAGAAAACATTAATATTACCTTTTAGATTATTCTCAATATTTTGTATATAAAGACTATAATCTTGGTGAACCTTTTCTTTGCACAATCTGCGTAAATGACAGAATAAACCATAATCAATATTAGAATTAGTTCTCTTATATTTTGCATGCAGCTCTTTTTTTTCATAAATCATACTTTTGAGTTCAGGACTAAACCATGCAGGAAATTTAAAATTACTTTTTATTAGCAATCTTGGCACATAAGTATCAATACAATCATAGAGAACAGCATAAAAACATTCAACATCATTATCCAATTGATCAACCAATAAGGCATCCCAGTTAAAATTAATTAATAAATTGTTGATTACATTAAAATCTGCATTTTTAAAATCATAGATTTGTTCTTCAAATTGCAAAGGTTTATAAGAGCTAATATTTTGTATACTTACAACAAATGCTGGGTGATGTTTGTCACATGGCAGAAGTATATCATTAGCACAATTTACTTTAGTAAAATTAGAATTATTGGTAAATACAAGATCTAGTAAAACATTGTTACAATTTTTTATCGAGTTTATTTGAGTGCAGTTAGAAAACAGCATGGAGCTAACAAGAAGATCACCGGAGGCATTCCGTCTACCAATACCATTATCATGGAGGTTGGTTTCATCCAACATCTGAAGATGGGGCAGGTTGTAATCTCCCATGATGTACATGACATCAGAGCTATCACTGAAGTTTTCAATATTGTTGCAGTGATTTTCATATTCCACCAAATTGCTAAGGGGAGGAAAATATACTGCACAGAAGTAGGTGGACTTAATTTTACCAATAGATACAGAGACCCACACCTCTTCATGCCCAGATGTCAAATTCCTCAATTCGACTTGGTGCGATTTTAAACTTTTTGTGATCGCAATTAAAACACCTCCTCCTCTGGATTTGCCTGTTGCTATGTTGTCTCTGTCACATCTATAAATTGAGTAGTTCTGTAGCCCTAGTTCCGAGTCATTAAACTCTGGTGTTAACCAGGTTTCACTAAGTATAATTATATCATATGATGCCATGGACACATTGTTTGAAAATTCATTCAATTTAGTTCTGATGCCTCTAATGTTCTGGTAATAAATCCTAATATCATTGATAGGGTTAATTCCTGCGCCGTGGCTGGGCCTGCCTTTTAAAAAAGCGTCTACCTTGTGCTGATGGTAATGGTTGATTTCTTCTAGGGAAATTGAATGGCTTGACAATCACATTTTCAGGCCATATGTCGCTATTAAATAATGTATTCTTGACACCAGGTTTCACGGAGAGCTTAAAAGATGCCACATGTTGGTTCTGAGACGACAGTTTCTCACAGGTTAAGGCTTCAATGTTGTTGGACTTAAGATAATTTATTAATTGATTAGTTGTGGTTCCTGCTTCCAGGTTGCCTATATAACACCAGAACTGTTCCTCCGCTGCTACAATTCCAGTTGAAGTTTTGTTTGTACCCCTGACAAGAGTGTTAGAGTTACCAAGTTACTTACTGAAGGACAGATACATTTTGAATTTGAGACTAATGATTTTAAAGCGAAATCATCTTGAAACCCAGTCAGTTCCATTTCTGTCGCAGCGATGTCTTCGCTAAAATTCTGCGTAACAGAAGTTGCAAACTGTTAGATATCAATTTCCATGAAGCGTGAAACAACAAATTGCGCCACTATAGCAATTTTATTATAATCCTTCAAACGATTTTTGAAGTTATCCTTCAAGTTAGAGACTATTTCTACCTGATATTTATTGTCATATGGTTCTAATGGACTTTGAGATATCTTTACTGAAAAACAGAAAAATGCATGGTATTGCCATCAAGTTTTGTTCTCAAAACTAACCTTTTTGATATATGCTTTTATATAAGAAATCATTTCTGCTAGTTCTTTGTCTCTCCCCTGAAGCTGCAAATTAAGTTCATTTAATTTTTCTGTAATATCCACAAGAAAACCAAAATTTCTAAGCCAGATTGAATTTTCCAGTTCCGGAATCGCTTCATCACGTTGTTTGAAAAATTGAACTATGGCAGATATGATATCATGAAAACGTTTCAGCACTCGTCCCCTACTTAACCATCGGACTTCAGAGTGAAGAAGTAGTTCCCGTATTGACAGTCAATGTCACCCGCCAAGGTTTTGAATAATCTTCTTTGTAACACTTGAGCTCTAATCTTGTTCACAATTTCTACTAGCAATTTCATAACGTTGTTTAGTTTTAGAAAATGTCCACATAATGCTTGCTGATGGATAATGCAGTGGTAATAGATTTTCGATATTGGAATTTTCTCAGAAGAAATACTATTTTTAGAAGAGGAAAACAAGTCCTGCCCAGTAGACTGTCCTTCTAGTGGAATAAACTTTAAAAGATCTTCTTTAATCGTAAAATCACTAAAAACCATCCTGACAAACAGGGCCATCTGAGAGGTGTCAACAACATCTGTAGATTCATCCAGCTGCAGTGAAAAATAAGCACAGTTATAGAAGTTATTTCTTAACTGTAAAACTATGTCATTGCTCATTACTTCTACTCATCTCATCACTGTATTAGCAGAAAGTTGCATTGATTTTATAGCAGACAGACACTATTGCGTCTTTATTTCTAAAGTTGGCAAATAACGAATCTGGAGCTTCTAAAAACGCCTGCTTTATCATTAACCCGTCTTGATAAGGTTTCTTCTTTTGTGTAATTATCTGGGATACCCGGTATGATGCTTCAGTTGTAGCCTTACTTTTGTAAAAATATTTTTCAAAATTCGAATGTACAGTTTTATAGTGCCTCTTGATATTGCCTTTTTTCGCAACGGAAACAGATGTAAAGGGTGTTTTTTTTTAGAGGTATAGAACTTTAAATCGCAATAAAACAACGATGGATTATTCGATTGACATGAATTATTTTTATTCGAAAGATAATCTTGTGGCATTACATTTTAAATATGATTTCTGACATATGACTGCCACGGCTGGCTCGGATGTAGTCCAATCTGGACGTCCAATTTTCGATCACCAAACGTGTCTTTCAATAAATCGATTGTAGCACGAGCTGTGTGACATGTTGCGCCGTCTTGTTGGAACCACAGCTCCTGGACATCATGATTGTTCAATTCAGGAATGAAAAAGTTAGTAATCATGGCTTTATACCGATGACCATTGACTGTGACGTTCTGGCCGTCATCGTTTTTGAAGAAGTACGGACCAATGATTCAACCAGCCCATAAGGCGCACCAAACAGTCAGTTTTTCTGGATGTAACGGTGTTTCGACATAGACTTGAGGATTAGCTTCACTCCAAATGCGGCAGTTTTGTTTGTTGACGTAGCCATTCAACCAGAAGTGTGCTTCATCGCTAAACAAAATTCGCTTATGAAAATCGGGAACAACGGCAATAACGTTTTGGGCCCATTCAACGAATCTACGCCTTGCTTGATGATCGTTTGGCTTCAATTCTTGCACGAGTTGGATTTTGTAAGCACGCAAACCAAGATCCTTCCGCAAAATCTTCCATAAAGTGGATGGACACAGATCCAATTCCTGTGCTCGATGGCGGATGGACTAATTCGGGTCTTCCTCAATGCTACGCTCTACAGTAGCAATAGCTTCTTCTGTACGCACCGGACGGCGTCTCTGGGGATGCGAGTTATCAATTAGAGTAAACGTGGTGCGAAAACGTTCCATGGTTAATCGAATTAACTGCTCTGATGGACAATTTTGTCGACGATAAAATGGACGTAGTGCGCGATACGTATTTCGCACAGAACCATTATTTTCGAAATGAAACTGCACAATTTGCAAGCGTTGTTCAGGCGTGAGTAATGCCAACTTACAGTTCTATACCTCGAAAAAAAAACACCCGTTATTGCAGGCCAACTCTAACCCTACCGCTGACCTTTGTGCCGTTCAAAGTAATCGAGATCGTTCTCGAACTGATCGCTCACCGCAGTGTTGCCGCTGCTTGTGTTTATTATGAGAATTTACAAAATTTACGGAAACTTCTATAATTTTTACACTTTTTTAAAATATGTTGTGAGCCACAAGAATTGCCTTTATGAGCTACCGGTAGCTCGCGATCGACGGGTTGGCGATCACTGCTTTAAAGTAATAAAGTAGCAAGCTGCAACGAAAAGTGTGGTTAGTATGACTTTGACGTGATAAATTGGTTCAAAGTTGACAGTTATAGTCTTTTCTATGTGACAGACAGGGTTGTAATTTGTAAACAATTCGGGAATTAAATTCAGTAACACATTTTCTCACAAGATTTGGTACCAAATTATAAAGAAAATTTTCTATCGTGACAGACAGCCTTTATGTTTAGCTGAGTTGGTAAAAATAAGTAGTTGGCTTCTTTCTTTCCACAACAAACAGCTAGAAGGTATGATTTCAAAAAGTTTTTAAAATGTCTATCTAGTAATCCTTGAGCCCTCTATTGACTTGGAAAGCACTGATTTGATATTGATGAAATTTTGACTTGAAGTTACTAGGATGGTAGCTTTGTAGATTATGGAAATTGATCTAGAGATGGTGAAGCTAGAGCCAGAAAATGAAAGAAATAAAAATTACTGATCTGATACTGTTTTTGGAATTTTTACAGACTCTTGACAATTGGAACTTATGAGATCTTTCTTTGAGGGCATACCTAGTTAAGTTTTGATTTCGTTTGAGTCTTTTTGATTGACTTAGCTCATTCTTCTTATTTTTGTTACTTTCATCACTTTTGTTTAGCAGCTACTTCTATATAAACAATTATATAAACAAAAATAAAAAAATTGCAGAACTTATATTTTGTTTTTTAGAGATCTCTATATCTCACAATTATAACTTTTGTTGATTCTTTTTTAATCCTAGTTCATAAGGTGTTAAGCTTGTAATTAAACAATATAATCTTATCAAAGACAGAGTTGGGTGGGAAGTGCAGAGTCAGTCTACTTGATGACATTTTTTTCATTATTCCAATATCATTTGTTCTAGAATAAAAATGGAGCCCAATGAATATGACTGGGCTGAGTGCAGTGGAAATAATCAGGGAGAATTCAAGGCAGACAGCTGTGCAGTTAAAGAAGAAGTGAGCATCAAAAAAGAGGACATTGAAGAAAGTATAGATCCATTTGATCCAGATTCACATGGGTAGGTAGTTTTATTCAAAGATGTAGCTATTGTTAGGTGAAACAGTCCAGTGCCTCAAGGCTCTGCACTCAAATGAGTGTGACATTTTTATTTTGTTTTGATTGTGAACTGTTCAAATTGGTCCCCTCCATAATTTTGGGGAGCCTCATAAATTGCACACACAGATATTTTTGTTTCATAATGGCAAGTTTTATATCATGTTAAATTCATGATCTACACAGTCTCATTTGATTCTCCCCACCTAATTATTTCAAAAACTGCGCATCATAGAAAAGGTTTTAAGAAATGTAGGGTTTTGAAGGGACAGAATGATGGTGACATTGACAATGACCTTGACCAGGACCTTCAAGCTCAACTATTTTCAAATTGAACCCCTTTTTTTCGCATCAAAATTGAAATTTTACATCCGAAAATCAAGTTGGCCATGACTTTGACTATTGTCATTAAGGCAATTTCAAGATAAAATGAAGACACCAGAAACAATTTGATCTAGCTAATATGTTCAACATCACAGTTGTGAGGTTTGTATGTATAACCCAAAGGTGATCATGACCTTGACAATGACCTTCATGGTCAAGTCAAAATTCCAAATGAAAACCTCTGATTTGTATACTTGATTTTACACTTGAGAGTGACATTGATCTCAAGGTCAAGGTCGTGTCAAGCTTAAATGTGGTTTGAGTTCAAGGTTATATTCAGATGTAAAATCTCCTGCTTTTTCCACTTCCATTAGAAAAATGAGAGGTTTCCTTTGGGAATTTTCACTTGACCGCGAAAGTCATGGTCAAGTTCACCCTTGGCATTAACACACATCACAACTGAGCTGACAACATTTTTCCTGGAGCAAATTGTTTTCAATGTCTTGATTTGACGTTGACATGGCCTTGAATGCGATGGTCAAGGTCATGGCCAAAATAATTTTTTTTTAGAATGTGCAGTTTTTGATATATTTAGGTGGGAGATTGAAACGGGACAAAGTATATCTTTTGTTGATCGTGTGTATTCATATTTTACAATTTGAGAAGTAGATTTATGATATCAAATATCTAAGTGAGCATACCAAGTCAGATTTTAAGTTTGGACAACCCAGTACTTTTTCGAAATTTTTTTGAAACACATGGAAAATTGAGAAGCTTTACTCAAGGCATGTAGAAGCAGTCTACTTTAGGCCATTTTCTGCCATTGCTTCAGGGTCAACACTGGACATAGTGAAGGTTATAACTTGAATGAATATGCGGCAAGCAAGGAAGAAATCAAGATTGAGCCTGATGCAGTAAAATCAGAAATGGATATTGATAGTGAAGACTTCAAAATTTCAGAAATCACTGAAGAATTCATCATCAAGAGCGATGGTGAGACCAGCATGGATGCATCTTCAGATGCAGCTCCAAATAGGTAAGTTTTTTTTGCATTGTTTGTAATGAGTGATTCAGCAAGAAGTATTTTTTTAAAAGTTCAAAACAGAATAATCAGTTTGTTAGGAACATTCGACATGTTCACTATTTACTGTGATCCATCAGTATTACTCACAGAGAGATACGTCCGCACATGCTGATGGTAAGGACACCACAGTAAAGAGTGAGCCAAAAGATGTATCCATGATGTATTTTTTTTGAAATTCTGTCAAATGTTGGCAGTCACTGTGTTTAACGTGGTATATTTTGGAATTCCATTTCGAGTGGTATTTGGCGAATAACGCGAAAAATACCGAATTCCATTTTTTCAATAAATTATACTTTCTCATCCATGTAGACATAGCAACAAAGGAAGAAATGGCGTCAAGTAGATTGTGTCTATACTTCCCACTCTTTCGGAAAATCTTCTAGTGCAATTTTACGTATAGTGCAATAGCATCGAAAAGACGTAGTTTTTTGCCAGAACCATTAGTGCACTATTTGGGCCTTTCATAAAAAACCTCATATTGCAGCAATGAGCGCGTCCATACTCGGTACCCTCATTTCTTTGGAGCTCGGTTGTAAGACTGTTTGCAAACAATGTTTGTATCTGATTATAAAAGCTCTTGATACGTACTTATATAGTATATATATCTACTCTATAATATTACGTTATGACATGTTTGTATATATAGATAGAATATCGCGCCCACCTCGTACGTGCATATCACGTCTCCGCGCCGTCTGCTACCTGCTTTTATAAGTCGCTCGGATAGACTATCAAATCTGTAATATTACGTTATGAAATGTTTGTATATATAGATAGATATCGCGCCCACCTCGTACGTGCATATCACGTCTCCGTGCCGTCTGCTATCTGCTTTTATAAGTCGCTAGGATAGACTATCAAAGATGCATTATTTGAAATCCTGTCTGCTAGAAATATGTTTTATGTATTAGGGTATGTATGATGTGTGTAAATAATTGGGGCGTAGTATTACCGTGTATTGGAAGAGTATTATTATATACTGAGTGACAAAAAAAGGTAAACACCTACGTATGTTTATTAGAATTCAAGAATTTTTTACATATCGATTTATCTTGCCAATGCCAGACCGCATGTTGCCACATCATCGTTAGCCGTCATGGATCAACATCGCAACCCGTTTACCTTGGCCACCACGATCGCCTGACTTATCTCCAATTGAACATGTCTGAGACATGATAGGTCGCAGGCTCTTGAATTTGCAACACACTCCACGGACTTTAGTAGGTCTTACTCACGAAGTTGCAGTAACCTGGAATGAGATACCCCACCTTATCAGCACGATATCCAGGCGTGTCAATGAGTGTAAAAGAAATCCTGGATCCTCAACACATTATTGAACCAGCTTCTGCAGTCATTTGACGAATCAAGCTGAAATTTCAATCATTTTACTAGTAATGGACACTGAACATATATGCCATTAATTATTAAAATAAACATACGTAGGTATTTACCTCGTTTGTCACTCAGTATAGTAACAACAAAAAAATTGCTCTCCCCCAGTCCCTTACCGTCTCAGAATTTTTAACCCGGAACATTTTTTTTTAAAATGTCATGATCTTCTGAAACGTCAAAAACGAAGTTTGAGCGATTATTTTTTTCGTTTTTGTCATTTTTCTACGTCACCGTTGGGCCGATTTTAAACGTCTACAAAGCTTTTTCGTCGCTTGTATAGTGGCAACCTTGTGTAAAAGTTTCATACAAATCCGGGCAGTACTTTCCAAGTTATAGACGGGAAGTATTGCGGAAGTTAAAAAGTTAGAAGCACTTTGTTGGCTAGCAACCCGAGTGATGAGGCCACGGACCCCATCGGCGCACTCTTTCTAACATACATATTGGACGCTTCTCGCGCTTCTCTTTCATACACATTACGACGTCAGCCAAATTTAAACCTCACCGTATTTGGTTAGTTTGCTGTCATGATTCGCTTTCAAGTTTGGAACGGTTCTATTTTTCTTTTGTTGTTTTACCGACGTTGTGTTGGCGGTGAAATTCTCTTGCTGGTGGTGGCACGTCCGCTGCCAAATGGTATTGACATCTATGTTGGAAAAGGGGCGTAACCCATTGTAGTTAGATAACTCGGTGAGGATTCCGCGTCAACCAGTGCTTTTTGGAGCTGATCAAACTGAGCCGCTTTCAAATGCTTTTCGTTTGAGAGTTGTATGCACCCGGAGTGTGACGCTCCCGAACTGCTCTAGCAAATGTCCACTTGAACACAACGATGAAAACCTAAACATCAACAAATAGATGTTTTAGTTTGACGTTGACAATTTGTATCACACTGCCAAACTAACAATGAAAATGTGAAACACATTCTGCCTTTATTTTCAGAAGCATTGCTAGGCTATCCAATTGATGACCGATGATACTTTTTTACTTGCGCTCTCTTGTGATCTTTATTATTCAGGAACGTCTCAAATCTACGTTGAGACTCTGGGTAATACACTATCAGTTTTGTACCATCGTCCATTGTCTGGTGTCGGTTTAGTGTGAGTTTAATGCAAAAAAAAAACAAAAACGGTGAAAAAACAACGTAACAATCTTGACACATTGTCATTTTCGTTATGCCCACTATTTCGGGAAGTATAACACCCAATGAAATGCTGGTGCATGAGGGGGCAGGGGATTTTAAAAATGAGTAGCTCAGATGCATGGCACTCTAGAGCAGTGGAGCGGTATTGACATGTGGTGAGTAGTACCGAGTTACTTCGAGCAACACAAATGAGGCACTGGAAAGCGGCTCTGATAGGTTGAGAATCAATGACATCATCATATGATTGGAAGCTCACTTGCCGATGCCCTGACGTCACGCCAATAGCGTCGGGTTTCGATATTTTAAATTTGCCGCGTATTTTTCAATTTTTTTAATTGGTACTCGCGATTTTATAGCTCACAAGTAATGGATAATGTTAAATGTCGCTTTCTGTAGCAATATAGGCTGTAAATAAAAATAAATGATATTTGAATCACATGCATATTTCTTATTGCCATTCGAAATGCTTGGATGCGTGACATTCTAGAATTTACCACATTGTACGCGGTTAACAGTCGACATTTAAAAGAAATAATATTCAGGAACTCAATTTTAAAGAATGCTTCTTTACTTCGATAATGAATTTGATTGTTTTTATGTTTCTCCCTTTTGAAAAAATACCTCTAAATCTGAATGAATCTCCCGTGTAAGATGAATCGTTTTTATGCATGCTTGTTATTATCCAGTAGCATAACACAGTGGTCAGAAAATGTCAATCTTGAGGCGGGGTTCGCGGGGTATTCGAGGTTGGGAAATTTCAAATTTCTATCTGACAATTGGTTTTTGATACTAAACTATTAGTGCACAGATCTAATAGTATTTTCTTCTGATAAAAGTGGCGTAATTTCCATGTTCGAATTATTTTGCCCTAGTTCATTACAAATTGGCCTCTTAAAGAACATAAGACATCTGTTTTTTCCTATCTGGCGCTGTTATTCTTTCATTTCGTCGCCCCCTATCCGTGCTGTTATGGTAAATTTTCGAACAAGAGGAGAGAAAACCATATAAACAGCGGCTATAAAAGCATGGTTGCATGCAATGCCACAAGTAAAATTTGTAAAATGTGACACTGTTGACAGTTGATAATACTAGCACGAGCTCCTCCAGGACGTGGCATATTTTTGCACTGCAAAACTGTTATAGTTCACAGTGCTAACCAAGACAACATGCATATACGAAGTGTTTCTCAGGTAATTGTCAATAAGGGGATTCATATGATCGTATTTCCTCAAAGTCTTTACTTTCGAAATATAGGGTGGCAAAGTTTTAAATATAGAAAGTCATGATACGCCACTTAAAAAAATCTGTATTCATTCGTATACATACATACATACATACCGAATTTTTCGTACCTGAGTCTACACATGTGTTTAATTGGCCAGACAAACATGGGCTTTATTTTCTTGTGTTCTTTGTGCAAATGAGAGATTGACGTTATTTTAGGATGCCCTGTATAAGTTGCATAAATATTGCTTATACAATATAAATAATTGTTAAAAACAATGATTCTAAAGAAATAATCATCATAATCGGAGTTGTTTCCAAGGACTTCCGAAGATTGTAGCGGCGAAAAAGTTTGCTTCTTTTCCAGAACTTCAAAAATTAAATTACCGAGAAAACAAGCCGCGCACGAGAACTCTGACAGAAAGTTGTTCAGTTATTTTAGTTGTTATTATACTACTTATTGTAAACCTTATTTAATCCGCCACATGAAATTGTTCCATAAAAAAATGCATCCCATTCCAGGCCTGGTTTGGAACTTCATTCATATTTACAGTGTTCTGCGTTGTTTACAATAAAAAAATATTAAGTGATCATGTAAAAGCAAAAAATTCATCATCAGGAACATCTTCAACTACCCAAGAATCCGATTTCGATAAACATATATCTCTACATCTTGGGAGTATTACAAGACATAAGTCAAGAAAATGCATTCACTGTAATGCAATATTGAGCTGTTCAATAGCTTTGGATGATCATATTGTTAAGAAACACTCTTGAGTATTTTAAATCGGTTGACAGCGAAATATATGAATGTCCCCACTGCATCTTTAAAACTGTTATGAAGAGATATTTTAATAGACACTTATTAACACATCCTAAGGCTATTTCAAATCTCAAGTTATTTATATGCGACCATTGTAACTCAACATTCACTCGTGTAATAGGACTAGATGATCATATAGTTAGGAAACATCCAAACTTTATTAAATCGGCTTCCAGATTGATATACGAATGTTCACAGTGCACTTATAAGACTGTTAAAAGAAACGAACTTGATGCACACATGTTAACACATCCTGAGGCTAGTTCAAATCTTAAGTTCCATAGACGCGTCAACTGCAATGCAACATTTAGTCGTGTATTATGACTGGATGAACCTAGTATTAAGAAACATCCTGAAGCTATCGAATCGGTTGTAAGATATATATATATATATATATATATATATACAACTTGGGTAGACACGCATTAAAACATTGAGACTGCTTTAATCTGTAAGCATAAGACGTGCATTAGAATTTTTAGTTAACAAAAAAATAACGAATCGTTAAGTCTTTCGCAGGGTGTGTGTAGGTGCGTGTGTGTGTGATGAGATTGGCGTCGGGGGAAACCCATTTGCCGCATACAGTTTATAAGGGATTTGAGTATCTAAATAAATGTTTTTGTTTTATGTAAGAAGTCTATTAGCAGATCAAAAACAAACTTATTGTTAAGAGTAAAGAAGACAAGTCACATTGGTCCACATCCCCGCCAAATTTGGTATGTCTAGGGTACGTTTGTACAAGACCAAATACAATACACTCACTCGGTTTTATGCTTATTACAAGTAAGCTCCCACCGATCATAGTACTCAAATATTTCTTCCATTGCCACACATAAGTCATCTGCGTATTGTGACATTGTTTGTCCTGCAGTGTTTTCAACCGGCAGCTCAGCATCGTCTAGGTTCTACAGGTAGTGTCCGATTATTTTAATAACGTTTTTAGGAATGTCCGTTTATTGTAACTTATAAATAAAAGCACTATGAGTAATAGAGTTAAAGGCGTTTGAGAGGTTGGTAGTAACCTCTGCTACCGCACTAGATGATCATATAAGCAGAAAACATCCTGACTTCATATCACTAGCTACTACCAAATTATATCAATACAGAATGCTATTATAAAACTGTTTAAAGATCCTCCTTCGACAAACATTTTTGTTGGTCCATTTGAGGAATAACCTGAATCGTTGATAAACTCAAAGGTATGAACATGATAGATATATCTTAGCCTATCCTGAGACAGATACTAAACAGTCATTAGATAATCATGCATTGAGAAAATGGTATTCAAATCTCGGAAATAAAAGTGCATTCATTGTGATAAAGCGTACACAAACCAAATATTACTAGATAGTCATTTAGGCCCGTATCGTCAGTCGTCTCTACAATTGTAGGGCGCCTTTATGGCCTCCTTGATTGTCATAGTTTTCTACTTCTCCGTGTCAGCGCTCTATTTTGAGATTATGTCACAAACATCTATTTGCATCAAATTGTGCTTGCTTTTGAGTTATATCATGTTCTATCAGCCTGAAATTTCCTACAATTTAAAAAGAAAACATATCTTCACAATAGGAGAACGCTGACGCTGACACGGGACAAGTGTAATCTAGAAATTTTTGAAGGAGAGAAAGGAGTATGACAATCAAGGAGGCCATAAAGGCGCCCTACAATTGTAGGGACGACTGACGATACGGGCCTTAATAATTTCACAACGCATGATATGTAATGTAAAATGGTAATAATAACGCTTTTATTCAACAATACATGTGAGCGACAAAGCTAGCGAAGTTTAGTGTAAGCTACTCTTACACTTAACTATCTTTGTCAGTAATCCAAAAGCTGATGTATGGTGCCATATAATGAATTGACAAAAACGATCAACCAAACTACTATACACTAAGACTACACTCCGCGCAACTTAAGTAGAACCATTGATTAACGTATTCTACCTAAAGATAGCCAACCTCATATATTCCCGTGCCAAAAAAACTATCCTAGATCATACGAGATACTGAAACGTTATAAATGAGAATTTGTCATGTATGTTTCTCCTCCCCGATCTAATCAGAAATCGAATTTGAAAGTGGTAGTGTCTCGTAGATGGCGTTGCAGCCAAATATAGCTTATACGGAGAAATCCAAATATCACTGACGAGGTAATGTCTACGAGAGAGAAGCGTACAAGCCTCGTTACTCGGGTTGCTAGGCAACGTTGTGCTTCTATCTCTTTCTAACATATGTATTGCACGCTTCTCGCGCTTCTGTCTTGAACACATTACGAGATCAGTGGTATAAGGCTCTCTCTGTATACTAATATAGTTGGCTACAGCGCCATCTATGCGACCGTAACCTTTTCAAAGTATGTATCTACTTATATATGTATATATACGGAGCTATTTTCATTCTGGATATTTTTTGGGACGTGGGAGTATGGTATTAGATTGGCTATCTTCAGGTAGAATACGTTAATCAATGGTAGAAGCACTATATTTTTCCTTATTATTCAAGATGTGAGACGGAATAATATAATACTGTATTCTTATGTATCCTTTCATTGTTTTTAACGAGTCACAGTTAAATTACAGGAATTACTTTTTATAAATTGGTTATCTATTGACACCCTGATATCGTAAACACTTAGTCGCAATGCTGGCGATCACTGGGGTGGATCTAGTATTGTATCGCTCCGATTGAACGAATCCTGTGGCGGATCCGGTCCGATCGAAATCGAGCTGTCAATTAGAACTAGCTGTTGTCACTTGATGTGCAATCTTTTTGTAGCTGTATCTGTTGCTTAAACATCATGACGCTTCAGCTATCAATGTTTGGCCTCAGATCATACAGATGCGATAGCTACTGTTGGTCCCTGTGATCATCGTGTCCCCAACTGTTTGCCGCGTTCCCTACTGAAGTCCACGGGCGTCTGCAGGAATTTTTCCCAGGTGCGGTTATACTTCATTCGTCTCACATTACGAATGTCATACGTCAAACTACAGTGTCATGATAGGTTTCATTTGCACTCATACTTTTAGGCAAAATAATATTTGTAGAGCTTTTATATTCAATATAACCACCCACAACAGAAGAAGGAAGTAAATAGAATATCTCTAAATGTGACAGCAACGGAAATCCTACCAAACACATAGGACTCAAGCTGGCGTTGAAAGTACCTAATTTTTGACAAGCTGTCGCCTCTGGTATGTCAAACTTGTTGACTAAGTAAGTAAGTGTGTAAATAGCTCATTCCGCGCTTGCTACATGTGAGCATTAAGTGAACATCAGCTAGTTACAAGTTGACGTATTGTTGTAAAACCAACATAATGTCATAAAAAAACCTTTATAATGTCAAAAAAACCGACATAATGTCACTTTCCAATTTACGTAATACCCCTGCCGATGGTGTGCTGCCTAAAGGCTAGTTTCAAACGGTTTCGAATTTGATTCTGCTAGAACACATTTTTCTGTCAAAATACGTTTGACATAAAAATGTGTTTGACATTTATAAGAAATTCTGTGGGTCATTCCTCATTGTTAGGGCATTGAATTATAGTTCCTGATATACTAAATTCATAAACTTGATTAATCCTCTTATTATGTAGAATAAACAACTAATCGTTATACGAAATCCATCCGCTTCATCACGAAATTATTATGTTTCATGACCTGCAAATCACAAAAAGAATAGTGTTTGCTCATAAGTAGAAAGTTTCTCACTGCCTCCAGTCTTCTTTTCAAAGAGTTGAAATATCTTCAGCCACCTAAGTTTGAGTCTAGAGTGCATATGAAAACCAAAATTCTTTCTGAAGTGGGCTACTGTTTGAGAGAAGAGTAAACTAATCACATTAGGCAGTGAGGATACGACAAACGATTTAAAACCAAGGTTGCTACAAATGAATGAGAATCTCCGACGATATTACATGAATTGTTGGTCAAGTTTGATACGGTCATTTTTCCGAAATGTCTATAATTGTTTACCTTAACAAAATGGAATAATATTGAAAAACACCAAAACGTGGACCATAAGATTAGTGTTTAAAATATTTCTACGTATTTGTATGTGGTGAAAGTTGAAATAGTGCGAGAACATATTACGTTTCTCATAAAAGGCAGTGTAAATGTTATATGAATTATCTCACGAACACAACGATAGACTCCGTTCAAACTTCAAAGAAACAAATGCCAGATATGTTTATAAATTAAGACCAAACGCAAGTAACACCCTAAGTTTTGATTGAATGTAGACTTCCGAACTCAGCGAAATAAAACAGTACACAGTACCACGTATTACCAGAATCGACCTCTGCGAGAGTAAAAACAGCAAGGTTTCTATTGGAACTACATCCCAGTTTGCATTTGACAGTCGGGTCTCCACAGTTGCCGCTAGATACCGCCGATTCTGGTGCTGTAGTAGATACGGTCTACTCGCCACTGAACAAACTAGTAGTACTGCTTTTCTTCATCAGACCACAGACGGCCAACCATGGATATCTGATGAGTTGCCAAAAAGTACAAAACAGCAGTCGATGGTTGGCCGTCTGTGGCCGGACGAACAAAAGTTATATTACTAGTTTGTTCAATGTTCAAATTTTTTTACTAATAAGGTAATATAATTCATTTTAAATACCACATTGGTGGCCCTCTTTTTCTTCAGTTTGCCACCTTGTGGTCCTTGGCTTTCAACGGTTGCCGACCCCTGGTTTAAATGATACGTTGCCTCAAAAAAACATAGACATACTATAAAACGATGCTTCCGAAACATAGGGCAAAGATGTATGGAGTGATTCTTTGGAACATCCTAAGACTACTCTGTCCAATGACGATTTTTGAAAGTGCGGAGACAACACTGTAATCCTGGAGTAGAATGCCTGGACAGCTACAGTAAAGAAAAATACAGAGGTATAAGGTCGATATAAATACAACAATACGAATACAAAGTGCTATCGATGCAACTGAGGTACCATTACAATTCCAACAAACAGTTTTGTATTGCTTAAAATCTGATAGGCCTCAGATTTTTTTATACTGAAGCAGCTGGAACTTAAAGACTTAATCCGATTTTCGAAGGTTAGCAGAACCAACATCTTATAAAAATTAAAGCCATTTTATAGAAATTAATGATAATTTATCATCATAATCATCTTAAATATGCACAGCCTATATATTTTTTTTCATTCTTTATGGCATCATTGGGTAACTAACTAATGTTATACTTAGCTATATCATCCAAAACGTTCATTGTGTTCTATGTATATTCAATATTTCACTTCATGGATATAAACATATTGCTTTTTTTTCAGAACACCAAAAAATATATTCCCAAGGAAACAAGCTGTGTATGAGAAAACTGACAGAAAATCGTTTAGTTGTTATAGTTGTAATTATACTACTTACCGTAAAAGTCACATAATCTGGCACATGAAATCGCACGATAAAAAAAGTTCATCCTCTTCCAGACTCGGTTTGAGCAAAGCTATGAACGCCCATAAACATAATACATGTATACACTGTAATATGACGTTTACTCGTGCAATAGGACTTGATGATCATATTGTTAGGAAACATCCTGAATTTATTGAGTCACTTGATAGAATAATACGCGAATGTCCACACTGCATTTATAAAACAATTCAAAAGAATGACTTTGATAGACACGTATTAACACATTCATCGTCTGGTTCAAGCTATAAGTCCAAGACATGCACTCATTGTGATGCGACATTTAAAAGCAAAACGGCTTTAGATGATCATATAGTTAAAACACATCTTGATTATATGTCACTAGTCACCAAATTACATCACTGCACGCAATGCAATTATAAAACCGCTATAAAAACCTGCTTAGACAGACATTTGTTGTTTCATCTTGATGAAGATTCCGAATTTATGAAATCAAAGGATGAACAAATATATACATGTCAACACTGCACTTATAAAACTTTTAAAAATTGCGACCTTGTTAGACACATGTTAACACATTCTGAGATTAATTCAATCTGTAAGCCCAAAACATGTACTCATTGTGGTGCGGTATTTAAAAGCAAAACGGCTTTAGATGACCATATAGTTAAAAAACATCCTGACTTAATATCACTAGTTACCACCAAATTACATCTCTGTACGGAATGCAGTTATAAAACTACCATAAAAACTTGCTTGGACAGACATTTATTGATACATTTTGATAAGGATCCTGAGTTTCTGAAGTCAAATGATCGAAAAACACACGAATGCCACCTCTGCACTTACAAAACTCTTAAAAAGCACGAACTTGATAGGCACACGTTAACACACCCTGAGACAGTTGAACAGCCATTAGGGAGTCATGTAATGAGAAAACAACGTAAAAAACATCAGAAGTGCATCCATTGTGATAAAGCGTTTAGAGACAAAACATTGCTAGATGGTCATATATTGAAAAAACATCCTGAAAATAGATCAACAATTACAAGCAAATTATATAAATGCTCAAATTGCGTTTATGAAACAACTCTGAAGAATGATTTTAATAGGCATATGTTAATACATTATGGAAACGTTCAAGCTCCTGCTTATAAACGGATGTGCACTGATTGCAACGTAACATTCAAGGATTATTTAGCCTTTGATGGTCATATAATTCAGTACCATCCTGATTCTATGGATTTAGTTACTAGTCAGCTATATGAGTGCAAAAAATGCAATTACAAAACAGTTTGGGTAGCTAGTTTACACAATCATATGTCATCATGTAAAATGGCACTTTGAATATAGGCTAATCTAATTAAGTTTTTAAATGCCAAAATTCAGGGTGTATTTAGGCAACCTATTTCCGACACTTTTTTCAACGTTTTTTATTTCATAAAAACTTTCCAAATCGTGTACTATAATGAACTGTTCAACGTCTGATAGGTGCCATTTTATAAAAGCTAAAGAAAATATATTATGCAATCATAACAATAACAGCATAGTATAATTTGAAATCCTTTTTTTGTAAAATATATTTATGGCACTGAAATGTCTGTATGGATAAGATAGTATAATAAAACTATGTGCATTAACCAGTATTGTTATTTCTTGGACCTGTAACGGCAGTCTCGTTTTTTCGTAAGGTTACGGCCACACCATAGGTGGTAGACTTTGAGATATGGACGGAACACATAGGATTGTAGGTGGAGATTATGATTATGTCTTGGAAGATGTCATATAAAAATTCTTAGTTTAAAATTTTGCAGTGTATCTCTTTTTGGTCAGGTTGGATATATATCGTTATTGTTAAGAGTGCAAATTGTGAAGACCCCTAACCTTAATTTTTTTCTTGACTTCTCCATAATTGTACACGCTGTTAGACGGATTCCACTGTGTATTCCTTTTGACCGTTTTCATGTCCAGTCTTCCGTGTAAAACCATCCCAGCAATCTCACTAACTTTCAATGTTCGGTCATTCATCCAGATTTTCAAAACGTTCGCAATATTTCTAGAAGTTACTGCTTTGTTTGGGCTACCCGATCGTTTCGCATAGTTTGTATTAGTGCGACCGCGTTTGAAATCGGCCAGTCCGGATAACATTTTTTAAACCATTGATTAGATTGCTCCTTATTTTTCCCTAACAATGTCTGATTGATACACGAAATTCCATTACTTCTATTTGCTGTTTGTGGTACGATTGACTTGAAAATTAGATATGCGTCATTTGATGTTTAGTTCTGTCGAAAAAGGACTAACGCTGGGACTTACTGAACAATGTGTTCCATATTTTCACTGTAATAGACATCTAGCTTTGCAACAGCATTCGATGAGCTTCTTGTTAGGAAACATTCAGATCTTATCAAATCAGTTGACATAAAAGTATGGGAACGACTTTGGTCGAAACGTATGAAAATATTCTGAGACTGGTACAGTCTGTAAGCCCAAGACATGCACTAATTTTGATGCGACATTTAAAAGCAAAAAGGTTTTAGATGATCATATAGTGGAATAACATCCTGACTTCATATCACTCGTTACTACCAAAATACATCAATGCTCAAAATGCAGTTATCAAACGGCTATAAAATCCTGCTTGGAGAAACATTTGTTGATGCATTTTGATAAACATCCTGAGTTTATGAAGACAAATGAAGTAAAATACACACAAACATGTCATCACTGCACTTATAAAACTTGAAAGTGCGAACTTGATAGACACTTGTTAGCACATCCTGAGACAGTTGAACAGCCATTAGGTAATGTAATGAGGAAACAACGCAAAAAACATCAGAAGTGCATCCATTGTGATGAAGCATTAGAGACAAAATATACTGAAAGAATCCCCAGGGATGCTGGCGGCTCACTTTTTTTCGATCCATCTCACTTTTTATTGAAAATACTCTCTTTTCTCACGCTCACTGTACATATTGTCAAGTCCACGAAATTAAATGAAGAGATTTGTTTTACAAAAATTAACTATGACAAAGTTGTTCATCTATAGGATTCTCCCCAAGCTGAGAAAATATGTATTACATGAGAAATAACCAGGATTACTTAAAATCCATGTTGAATTTCAATTCAGCTTTGCCAAAAGCACTCTATATATACTAAGTGACATATAAATCCGAACACCCAGTTTAAATGGTTTTATTTTAATAAAATTTTGTATAAGGACTTAATGAAGCATAATAAGTAAATGATAAAAATTTCAAAATGGTTGCACTGCTTTAAAGCCCTTTGACCTTTAATAATGTGTGGATGCACCCTGATGTGCTACGCATTCTCCAACGCGCCTAGGCATGCTTCTGATCAGGTGGTCAATGTCCTCCTGTGGTATCTCAATCCAGGCAACCACCAACTCCTCTCGAAGTGCTTCTAGAGTCTGAGGAGGACGTTGCAAATTGAGCAATCTCCTACCCATCATATCCCACACGTGCTCAATTGGGGATAAGTCGGGAGATCTTGGTGGCCACGGTAACAATGTGACATCATTATGTTGAAAGAAGTCTACTGTGACTCTTGCAACATGTGGTCGGGCATTATCTTGTTGGAAAGTTGGATCTGCCAAGGTGTCAAGATAGGGTGAAAGATGGGGTTCTAGAACTTCGTGGATATAACGCTGCGCGTTCATGTTACCTCTGATGAAGATTAAATGTGACCTGGAACCATAAGCTATAGCACCCCAAACCATAACTCCAACAGAGTGATGAGCATGTCTTTCAACAAAAAACTGTGGATTCCTCCTTTCACCACGTCGCCTTCTAACCCTGGCACGACCATCGTGCATGCCTAAACAAAATCGAGACTCGTCACTAAAGACAATACTGTTCCATTCCTGATCCCAGAGTGACCGTTGTCTGCACCACTCAAGGCGATTACGTCGGTGTAAGGGTTAGAAGGCGACGTGGTGAAAGGAGGAATCCACAGTTTTTTGTTGAAAGACATGTTCATCACACTGTTGAAGTTATGGTTTGGGGTGCTATAGCTTATGGTTCCAGGTCACCTTTAATCTTCATCAGAGGTAACATGAACGCGCAGCGTTATATCCACGAAGTTCTAGAACCCCATCTTTTACCCTATCTTGACACCCTGGCAGATCCAACTTTCCAACAAGATAATGCCCGACCACATGTTGCAAGAGTCATAATAGACTTCTTTCAACATAATGATGTCACATTGTTACCATGACCACCAAGATCTCCCGACTTATCCCCAATTGAGCACGTGTGGGATATGATGGGTAGGAGATTGCTCAATTTGCAACGTCCTCCTCAGACTCTAGAAGCACTTCGAGAGGAGTTGGTGGTTGCCTGGAATGAGATACCACAGGAGGACATTGACCACCTGATCAGAAGCATGCCTAGGCGCGTTGGAGAATGCGTAGCACATCAGGGTGGATCCAACATTATTAAAGGTCAAAGGGCTTTAAAGCAGTGCAATCATTTTAAAATTTTTATCATTTACTTATTATGCTTCATTAAGTACTTATACAAAATTTTATTAAAATAAAACCATTTAAACTGGTTGTTCGGATTTATATGTCACTTAGTATACATGCACTAGGTGCCATGCAAAAACGTTTATGAAGCAAAGTTGCGCATTTAGGTAACCAATAGAATGTTACTTAGTTTGGCCATTCAGAGTATTTTTAGCGAGACAGAAAGTACTAATTTACCCTTAACTGTTTTAATTTTCTCCTGGCTCAATTTGAGCTGGGATTTCAATATAAATTGCATTAAGAGTGGCATTTTTAACAAGCCTTGTACAAGTAACTGTTAGTATGTTAGTTAGTATGCATGTGTGGAAGAAATCCTGAAACTGAATTCTGAACCAGTTAACCTTAACCAGTTGAGCTGAAATTTTATATGTCGGTCTGGTTCGTGTAGCAATACATAATGAATTAGCTGCCGCCATTTTGAAGCTAATAGGGGTATGCTACGTAATGGCGATTTATCATTTCCATAGTATATAATATGAGTATCAAATGAAATAACTTGATGAGAGAAAAGCAATAAGCAAACTGACGTCATTCTAAATTTAATATGACGGAGGCTGCAATGGGGCGATTTATAATTTCCACAATCGCTTCTATAATGTGAGCATTAGATAAAATGGCTTGTCATTTCAAATCAAATATGTTGACCGCCACAAGATGGTGTTTATAATATTTCTATAGTTACTGCTATGGTATGGTTATCGACTAAAAGGGCTTGATGAGGAAGACAAACAGTAAGCAACGTGACGTCATTCTAGATCCAGTATGACGGCTGCCCAAAAATATCGATTTATAATTTCCATATTATGGATATCAAATGAAGGGTATTTATGAAAGAAACACAATGAGCAAAGTGACGTCATTCTAATCCAATATGGCAGACATTTAATGTGACAATTGACAATGCAATATCATTATGACATGGAAGTGATCTGATGATGAAGCCAGGAAGTGGCCATGTGAACCCATCGATTGGAGCCTTACTTGATTCCTCATGGCATGTACTCTAGTGTTACAGTCTGATGATTAAGTTAGTCAACTATTGTGTAAAAACACTCCTTTAATAACTATATCAAGTTTCAACTTTTTAAGATTAGTTCGCTAAAATGTAAGTTCAATAAATCGGGCAAGAATACTTGATTGATATAAATAAGTACGACACCGGCATTTACAAGAATTTGTTATATTTTTTATTAATTATGAATAATTATGTTTACTTACGTCAATAAAAAACTAACAAAGGGTTATTCTAGTTTTTTCACACATTCTTATTTTGACATTACGATATTCAATCTCTCAGAAATTTAACTTACTTTTTTTATGTATAAATTCACTATTTCTCACTATTTGTTCACTACTTTTTTGGAAAATCTCACTTTTCTCACTTAGATTAATGCGTTGGGCCGCCAGCACCTCTGATCTCCTAATACAGATCAAGTGCGAGCAACGTATATGAAACAGCAAATTGCGTTTATGAAACAATTCTGAAGAATAATTTTAAAGTATATGTTATATTATGTGAACCTTCAAGATTATGCTTGCAAACTATGCACGCGTTGCAACGTAACATTAATGATAAGAGAGCCTATTATGGTAATAGACTTTAATATCATCCTGATTAAATCAACGTAGTTACTATTACGTTATTTATCTTAACATTCTAATCCAAATTCTTATATTATATTTATATTATCCTGTAGACGTAATAAAAAATATAGGAATGATCAATAAAAACTTGAAACTAGGGTCAAAATAATAGTAAAACAAGACATGACAAATTAAAAGTTACACAATTAACAGATTAAAAATGCCTCCAGGAGAAGAACTCTTCGATAGTATAAAAACGTTGATCAATCAGAAAGATTCTCAAATTTTGTTTAAAGGACTTCACGTTTGTGAGTTAACCTTATATTTATTTATACACCACCAACAGATAAACCAGTTACGGGTGGAAATACAGCAAGTAATGTAATACAAACTAACTTAGTCACATTTGGGTATTTTTGATGCGCTGATTTCAAGAATGTCTTTCTTTTTTTGTTTTTCGTGCAGCTCTAGTTCTCAAGATATATTTAGTATTTGAAAAGGTGCAAAATATGCCATTTCGACCTTGAAAAATAATATGAAGAAAAGCTTTAATGATGGTAAACTTTCTGAACATCCTTCAAACATCCACTAGCAAAATCCCATTTGATATATACTATCCACATGGTTTTTGTGTTCGATGAATTCCCAATATTTCAATTCATGAAGCTAACATTTTGCTTCTTTTTCAGAACACCAAAAAATAAATTCCCAAGGAACCAAGCCGTGTATGAGAAAACTGACCGAAAATCGTTTAGTTGTTATAGTTGTAATTATAGTACTTATCGTAAACGTCATTTGATTTGCCATATGCAATTGCATGATAAAAAAAGTACATCCAAGTCCACGCCTGGTTTGGAACTTCATTCATGTTTACAGTGTTATGCCGTGTTTACAAGTGAAAAAACATTAAGTTATCATGTAAAAGCAAAACATTCATCAGCAGCATCTTATGATGTACCACTACATGTTGGGAGTGTTTCAAGACATAAGTCTGTAAGCAAATGCATTCACTGTAATGCAATATTGTGTTCCCCAGAAGCTTTGGATGGTCATATAGTTAAGAAACATCCAAACTTTATTGAATCTGTTACTAGATTTGTATACAAATGCTCACAGTGCACTTATAAAACTGTTAAAAAGAGTGATCTTGATGCACACACGTTAACACATCCTGAGATTACTTCAGATGTTGAGCTCCATAGATGCACTCATTGTAATTCAAAGTTCACTCGTGCAGTAGGATTGGATGATCATATTGTTAAGAAACATCCCGAATTTATCGAATCGGTTGATAGAGAAATATATGAATGTCCCCACTGCATCTTTAAAACGGTTGTGCGGGGATATCTTAATAGACACATGTTAACACATCCTGAGGCTAGTTCAGATCATAAGCTTCATAGATGCGTCAACTGTAACTCAGCATTCACTCGTGCAAGAGAACTGGATGATCATATCCTTAATAAACATCCTGAACTTATTGGATCAGTTGATAAAACAATATATGAATGTTCTCACTGCTCCTTTAAAAGTGTCGTGAAAAGAGATCTTAATAAACACTTGATAACACATCCTGAGGCTAGTTCAAATCATAAGCTCTACATATGCAGTCACTGTAATAGAAGTTTTAGTTGTGCTTTAAGTTTGGATGGACATATAGTTAGGAAACATCCAGACTTTAGTGGATCTGTTGCTAGATTAATATACGACTGTTCACAGTGCACTTATAAAACAGTTAAAAAGAGCGAACTTGATTTACACATGTTAACACATTCTGAGACTAGTTCCGATCTTAGGTTCCGCAGATGCGTTCACTGTGACTCAAAATTCATTCTTGCAATAGGACTGGATGATCATATTGTTAGGAAACATCCTGAATTTATTAAATCGGTTGATAGAAAAATACATGCGTGTCCATCATGCAACTTTAAAACTGTTCTGAAGAACGATTTTAAACGACACATGTTAACACATACTGAAACTAATTTATATGATTTATACAAAAAGTGCATTCACTGTCGTAAAACTTTCGGAAACAAAATGTTGCTAGATGGTCATATACATAGAAAACATCCTGAATTTAGCTCAACAATTAATAGCAAAATATTAAAATGCACAACTTGCATTTATGAAACAACTCTGAAGGTCAATTTTAATAGGCATATGTCAACACATCATGTGTCTTCTGAAGAATATGATGTCAAACGCGACAAACTGTGTACTCTTTGTAACCTAACATTTAAGAAGAATTTTGAATTTGATGGCCATATACTTAAGTACCATCCTGATTTAATCAATTTAGTTACTAGTAAGTTATATGAATGCAAAAAATGCAATTATAAAACCGTTTGGGAAGTCAATTTAAACATACATGAATCATCACCATGTGAAATGGCGCTTTGAATATAGTTCAGTTTGAAATTTAAAGTCGGAAGCGACACTAACAATAGTAATGCGATTTAAACGCAACATACATGTTAACGCATGCTGGTAGTTAAAATCAATTTATAAACTTGCTAACGTTACGGAGCGTGTCACATAACCTAACCTAAAATTGAATTCTTTTTCACATATTTGAAAACCAAACTTGCAGCACACATCTCCTTCTAGTTCATATTAATGTTTGAATAAACTAAATAGAAAACATATGTCATATCAAACAGAGCGAAAAGCACACAGAAAAGGCAGCTGATCTGTCTCTAGAAACACGATACTTTATTCCATTATTGGCGTTTTAAAAAACTGCAAGAGCGACAAAGAATCCGGTTTGAGGTTAGACTTATGAATAGTTGTAGCTACAAAACCAGATACAGTGTTTTCATCACTTGTACGCGCATCTCCTGAGTTCATATTATTACTACAATGCAATCCGCTTAGAATGGACTTGGCGGGACTGTGACAAACAGTCTATTATAGGCGGATGACCATCTTAAAAGAAACACTTTTTTTAATGAAAAAAAGCAGCGGAAACTACATATGAAAAGCTTAAAATGTGTTTGTTTAACATGTATTACATAAATAAAGATGCATACAAAAGTTATACGTAATTTTGAAATTTGCATTTATTCAGAATTTGATACACATATTACAGGCATACGTACTGTGTAGACGTATGTGTAAACACCGTAAATTATTTGGTAAAAAAGCTAGTAATTTTCATTTGAACAGATTTTTTTTTGTATAATTATTTAGAACAGCAAGTTGAATTTTATTTAATTTGGTAAATGTGGCTGTCATGTCTTCTTCTTGCTGAAAATAACGTTGCAACTTTTTCACGCAGTCTAATGCCTCCTTAGTTATCACTGGAAGCTCTTCTTCATCTTTGTTTTCTGGTTCGTCTACATGTTCGTTATCAACGGATCCTTTATTAACCAAATTGGAGTCTGACAAGTCCTGTGTTGCTATTAAATTATTGCCAACATTTACATACTCATTAAATTTGTCTATATTCAGAAGAACTATTAATTTTCAGTAAATCACTTGCTGGAATTTCATCTTCTGGATTAAAATCGTTGACTATTTCAGTTTTGTTTCTCACTAAACCAGGCGAAAACAATTACGAATCGTTTCTGGAGTAAGCAATTCCCATTCAGTAGTAAGCAAATTTATAGCATCTAAAATCGTGACAGCTTTGGTAATGTTGACATCTTCTTGAAACTCCATAATTTTCATCAACATATGTTTCCGATACATTTATTTACAACTTCAAATGACACCCTGGTCCATTCGTTGCAGAACTGATGTCACATTGGGTGGTTAAAAATTGGAGGTTGATGTTATTAAGTGAAATATTTGGATGAGCGGGGCAGTTATCGACCAAGAGCAAAATTTTACGATTTTTCTTAACAAGTTCAGCGTCCCACTTTATTAAATATTCTTCAAAAATTAATGAAGTCATCCAAGCTTTATTATTTCCAAAATAATCGACGGGAATTGTTTTAGCATAGATTTCCCTGAAATAAAAAAAGGGCATGAACTCTTTGCAGCACTGCCACTGAATATCAAAAAATTAGAACATGAATTTCTATTCATTCACTGTTTCCGTTTTTCAGTACCAGAACATTAGCACAAGTCATAACAGTTATTCGCTCTTTTGATAGTCTCCCTTCATGCAAGTTTCACCTTTTAATTTATTGTTTTATCTGGTAGCATTCTATAAAATGTCCCGGTTTCATTTGCATTGAATATGTTATCATCTGAATAATCATTGTATATTAGCGATTCAAAGTTGAGAAATCCAGTCATTGGTAAAGTTCTTGTCAACTGAAGCTGACTCACCACACATTTTTCCAAAAACAATGTTATGTCTTTCCTTAAACCTGTCTACCCAACCGGACTTACATTTGAAGTAATCTCCAATCAATTTCCGAAATTCTTCAGCCTGTATTTGTAGCATAGGTCCACTTATTGGAAAATTATTAGCACGCTTTTGTTGAAACCATTTAAACAGCATATCATCGACTTGAGGATGCAGCGATAGCGGCATTTTTTCTTTTGACTATTTGATTTCCAGTAATTTTCAATTTTGTCACGGTTTTTCCAAATATTTGACACAGTGGATTCTTCTATAGCCATGCGAGCACATATATTTGCTTGAGATGAACCCTGCTCGAGCTCACTAATTATTGTGAACTTTTCGTGTAAAGTGAATGCACGTTTTGCACTTTTCGACATGTTTATAACTCTAATAAATACAGTATAACCCTGGTGTCCAAGTTCGAGTGCAAACTGCGAAGCCAAACCGCCGTAAACGATTGCATTCGCTAAATCTGCTTCGGAGAACTACCAAAATAGCTCGCATATAATGGATTAAAATAGTCCGCTATAAGCGAGGGTCTATTTTAAGCGAGTCTAAAATATCCGAAGATTTTATAGGACCCTAAATTGTTTCCATTATAAGCAAGCTCAATATAAGTGGATTCCACTGTATTTAAATAAACTAAATATAGCAAACAATCTCAACGAAACCCAGGCCGATTACAAAAGTTAAACAAAAAATATGTTAATCTCAAACAGAGCACGCGGAAAAATCAGCTGTGCTGTGGCAACAAACACGTGATTTGCAGGTTCGACAACGGCAGAAAGTTCAAACTTTGTCCAGACTAGCGTCAACGTTGCGGAATGCCTATTTATAAACAGTTTAACATCAAGCACATGATTCAAGTTTATAAACTGACCTTTATGGTTCTAAACTGCACTCATTGCTACAAATCATTCAATGGTGATTAAGTCCTTGATGGTCATTTACTTCGGTACCGTCCTGATGCTGTCAATTTAGTTACTAGTGAGTTTCATTTTTTTAGGAATTGGAATAATTAGATCTTGTTTCCACTTCAAATCAGTTACATCAATACATCGTCCAATTTTCTGTACATGTACATTTTATACATTTTTTTTATTCTATGCGATACCACGGGGGATACAATTTAAAAACTCATAATAATTATTTAAATAACGTAATGATAATTTACATCTTACAAATTGATTCTAAACTACATTTTTCTGCGTAATAGTTTAGATTGCATCCACAAATGCAAAAACAACGTATTATGGAGGTCACAGTGTGTCCATCTAGATACAGTGCAAAAACAGTACGGACCTGGATTTTTTCAACATAAAATCAGTTTGAGTCCCAAAAACATTATTATATATGATCAATACTGCCAGAAATATTGTGTTTTTATTTAAATTGGAAGAATACATTTTTGAAGAATATTTAAAAAAACTAAAATACTAAAATGAATTTTCGTTTAAAGCAGTACCATCTGTTGGCTATCCGATATGGAACCTGCAGGTTATTAATTTTAACAGAATATAAACAATCCAAAAAAGTAAGTCCGTTCGTGGATCTTTAATTTTCCTACCAGTTTCAGATTACCCGTAAGCACTTTTAATATTGTGCAAATTTTCATTGTCACGCTTGTCTGAAATTTAATAGTTTTGGCCTGTAGAAACGTAAATTAGAACTTCATTATTTCTAGATATTCACTAACTCGAATCAGCCTGTATGCGTATACTCTGCACAGAACTATTTTCAACTTTCCAAAAGGCCAAACATTTTATAAGCGTACTTCGGGCCGTCTAGTATCAACAGTAGTAGTAAATGTCACCCCCTGGCCACGCATTAATTGTATTCGATGTATTCTCAATATTTCAATTCATGAAGGTAACATTTTGCTTCTTTTTCAGAACACCAAAAAGTAAATTCCCAAGCAAACAAGCCATGAATGAGAAAACTGACAGAAAATCGTTTAGTTGTCATAGTTGTAATTACACTACTCATCGTAAATGTCATTTAATCTGCCACATGAAATTGCATGTTAAAAGATGTGCATCTAATTTCAGGTCTGGTTTGGAACTTCATTCGTGTTTATATTGTTATGCGGTGTTTACAAGTGAAAAAACGTTAAGCGATCATGTAAAAGAAATACATGCATCATCAGCAGCATCTTCTGTTTCCATGACAACATATACATGTAAAAAATGCATTTATACAAGTACCCAGAAATCCAACTTGGATAAACATACACTACATCTTGGGAGTGTTTCAAGACAAACCAAATGCATACACTGTAATGCAATATTGAGTTCTCGAGTAGCTTTGGATGATCATATAGTTAGAAAACATCCAGACTTTATCAAATCTGTTGCTAGAATAATATATAAATGCTCTCAGTGCATGTATAAAACTGTTAAAAAGAGCGGCATTGGTAAACATATGTTAATACATCCTGAGATTAGATCAAATCTTGAAATCCTTAAATGCATCCACTGTAATGCAACATTCAATCGTACAATAGGACTGGATGAACATGTTGTTAAGAAACATCCTAAATTTAGTGAATCCGTTGATAGAGAGATATATAAATGTCCCCACTGCATCTTTAAAACTGTTGTGCAGAGATATCTTGACAGACACATTGTAACACATCCTGAGGCTAGTTTAGATCTTAAGCTCCATAGATGCACTCACTGTAACTCAAGATTCACTCGTGCGGTAGGACTGGATGAGCATATTCTTAGGAAACATCCCGAATTTATTAAATCGATTGATAGAAAAATGCATGAATGTAATCACTGTATCTTCAAAACCGCTGTGAAAAGATATCTTAATAGACACATGCGAACACATTCTGAGACTAGTTCTAATTATAAGCTTGATATAGCTAGGAAACATCCAAACGTTATTGAATCTGTTGCTAGATTAGAATACAACTGTTCACATTGCGCTTATAAATGTGTTGAGAAGGGCGAACTCGTAGCACACATGTCAGCACATCCTGAGAAAAGTTCAAATCTCAAGTTTCATAGATGCGTCCACTGTAACTTAAAAGTCACACGTGCAATAGGACTGGATGATCATATTGTTAAGAAACATCCTGAATTTATTAAATCGGTTGATAGAGAAATTTATGAATGTCCACAATGCATCTTCAAAACTGTTAAAAGGTGCGTCTTTGATAAACACGTATCAAAACATTCTGAAACTGTTGCAAATCTTAAATTCCTTGAATGAACATGTCGTTAGGAAACATCCTAAATGTATTAAATTATAAATGTCCCTATTGCAGTGACGTATGTACGTGGGTTGATCCAGAAATAAGGTTCCCAAAGAGCTCCATTCGCACTGGAAGGCGGGAGGCGGGGTCCGGCAACACCGCTGCGCGCGGCTGTTCCCTCACTCTCGATTTCCCCAGCCGCGCTTAGCTGCGCCGCTCAGTCTTGCAGTGTTGCCGAACCTACCGATTTTTCGGTATTTCTACCGAAATAAGACGTTATTTACAGAAATATAGAAAACGTTTTTTGTACGCAATTTTTTAGACGTCGATCTCGAACAGTTGACCACCTAGGTGCTCCTTCAATTTCGGAAACGCTACAGGTATGCCCGAACTGCAAGGGGGATAGGCAATTATTTGCCAGCCAAATCGCTCGATTAAGTCCTTCGTTTGTTGTGAGACATGAGGATGCGCATTGTTGTGGTGCAGTCTTAACGCTTTGGTGAGTTTTCCCCTAAGACGATTTTGGATTGCCCGTCTCAGCTTTTTCAGAAACCTCAGGAATTTCGACCGCCTGTTCCCCGGATCATAATTATCCGACCTTCGAGCAAGATTAACAACGCAAATAAGCGCTTCTTGTTGGGATCGGTGGTGGGGGACCCGATAAACACGACGCTTAGCATCACGCGTGGTAGAGACAACGTCGGGAATCTTTTTTTGAGACACCAGCGTAGCTCAATATTTTATTCCACTTCCTCCACTCCAACCATACTGATCTGAATTCTGTATTCGTTTTTGTGTGTACAACAGGTACAGACTGGCAGATCATCGCCTTCGATAGCGGATAAGATACAACGAAACCGAAGCTCGTCTGTTTTAAATTAAATATTAAAATGTCCGTTGATGAAGCTTCAAGGTCTGGAGTAAAACGGAGAAAATATTGACAATCCTATGAGAGGATGGTTGCAAAGGACTTTGAAGAGCGACTAGTATGAATGGTTATAAAGGGTGGGCCATCCGTTGGTTTCTTTCTTAAATTGGTATTAAAACTACACTCGATACTTGATTCAAAAGAATAAACCTTATGATTATTTATGAAAAACAATTTCAGTTAAATGGCTGCCGCGGCTGGCCTGGCAGTAGTCCATCCTCTTAACCCAATTTTGAAGCACATCTTCGATAGTTTGTGGGGGGTCTATTTCATCAATAGCTCGACGGATATTTTCCTTAAGATTGTTTTAGGATCGTTAGTGTAACGGCGGTCCTTAACCCTTTCCAGCCCAGCGACTCCAATTGGAATATATTGCCTAAAGCCACGACAGAAAACTGAAAACAAATAGAAATAGAAATTCCAGGCAATATATTATAGCCAATAGATCACAGATGGCGACACGCATACCAGTTTCGATTTTTAGGTTAATTCAAAGTTTACAGTATTGTGTGTAATAATTATTGTTTGTTCTTGAATAAAATCAAGGTAAGTTTATATTTTATGTGTTTAATATTAATACAAATAGCATTATTAGGTCATTAGTAATACAAAATGAGGTTTTTATTGAAATCATAGTAAAATTGTTGAAACTATGTACTTAGAATGTTATGATGCCAAATGGAATCAGTGGGCCTAACGCCACTTTAATAATGATTCCAGTTGGCGTCAGTGGGCCACTGTAATCTACTATTTTCATATTTTGAATATTTCAGATGCCGACCGTAGGTCGGTGCGTAGGACTTACGGAAGAGGAAGAAAAACACTTGCTGATGTTGCTACAAGGGGACGAGTCGGATTTGGATTGTGTAACCGACAACGATGAAGATGATTTCTATCAAGAAACGTTCCTTTGATTACAAGAGGAATATGATCCCGATCCTCCAGAACCTTCTCCAGAAGAACTAGTGTTATCTAATTCTAACTTAGAAGTGGACACAGATAAAATCTGATGAAAATGGACATGAACCTAACAGACAAATGCAACAAGACTTTGACCCTGAAGACGATTTACCTATTATTACGTTTCGGAACCAGCACCTAACGCCTGCTGTACAAATTGCTCCAAAGTGGAAAAAAGCAGATCTTCCTTTCGTAAATTCTGAATGTAACGTAATATTTACTAACGAAAAGGAAAATGATTCAACTCCGCAGTCATATTTCAAGCTATTTTTTGATGACAATTTAATTCAACATATTACTGATCAAACAAATTTGTATTCTACACAACAAACGGGGGCATGTATCAACACCACATTCACAGAAATCTCTCAATTCCTTGGAATAAATATTATGTCTGGTATAGTCAGGATGCCTAGCTATCGAATGTATTGGGCACAAGAAACTCGTTATTCACCTATAGCTGATACTATGTCGAGAAACAGATTTGATAAACTAAGAACTCAAATCCATTGCAATGACAATACAAATATGTTGACCCGTGATCACCCAGATTATGACAAACTTTTTAAAATACGACCTGTCATAGATGCCCTAAAATTAAATATGTCCAAAATTGAGCAAGAAGAATACAATTCGGTAGACGAAATCATGGTGCCGTTCAAGGGAAGGAGTTCCCTCAAACAGTTTATTCGGAATAAACCGCATAAATGGGGAATAAAGATATTTGCTAGAGCTGGAGTCAGCGGTATTATCTATGATTTTGAAATATACAGGGGAAAAGGGACCGTGAAAGAGACTAATCTTGGAATCAGTGGTGACATTGTCATTAGACTTGTAGAGACATTACCCAGAAACTTAAATTATAAAGTTTTTACAGATAATTGGTTCACGTCTTATAAATTATTCTGTGAACTTAAAAAGCTGGGAATATTTGCATCTGGAACCGTAAGGATTGCCAGACTGCCTGGATGTCAATTGAAAAGTGATGCGGAGTTGAAAAAAGAAGGACGTGGTTCGTTTGATTTTTGCACAGAGGAGAATGAAAATATATTTGCCGTCAAATGGTTTGACAATAAAACAGTGCATGTCGTCTCAACTTATATAGGCCTGCAGCCTATACAAAATGTCAAAAGATGGTCTTCATCAGAGAAAAAGTTCATTGATCTCCCTCAACCGTATGCTATCCAAATATACAACAAATACATGGGTGGCGTTGATTTAAATGACATGCTCGTCTCCTTGTACCGAATCAAAATAGGTGTTAGACGTTATTATTTACGAATAATTTACCATCTAATAGATATTTGCATCGTCAACGCATGGCTCTTGTAGAGGAGAGACTGTTCAGCAAGAGGAATCAAAAAATTTAAACGACTGGTCACTTTCAGAGCTGAAGTTGCACATGCAATGTTGCAACAGAATGCACCATTACGGCGAAGAGGGCGCCCGTCGGATGCAGAAGTTGAACAGCCTCCACGAAAACGACCTGTTGTGCCCAGACCGATAGATGATGTGAGATTTGATGGATTTTCTGACTGACCAGAACACATAGAACCAAAGCAGAGATGTAGGAATTGCATCAAATCGTATACGAGAATTTCTTGCATGAAATGCAACATGCCTCTATGTTTGTCAAAGGAAAAAAATTGTTTTATTAAATTCCATAATCAGTAATTTTAAATGTTTACTACTCTTACTACTCTTTTGTTATAACTAAAATTAAATCTAAAATAAACCATTATCAATTTACATTTTTCTTATCTTACGCCCACTGATTCCAAATGGAGTCATCATTTTTTCTCCTAAAAAAAAAATTGTTTTCAGAAAAAAACATTTTTACCGTAATTTTTAGACCATAATTACACAGAAAAAGACAACAAATTTTTTTTTTGTTAAAAAAAAATTGGGCTTGAAAGGGTTAATAGTACCCCATAGGAAGTAATCCATGGGCGTCAAATCACAGCTGCGGGCTGACCAATGAACGTTTCCAAAACGGCTGATGACACAACTTAGTGTGTAAAAGATCGATTGTTTCACGGCTGGTGTGGCATGTTGCGCCATCCTGCTAGAACCAGAGATTGTGCATGTCGTCTAATAGTGGCCACAAAAAACTCCTCAACATGACTCTATAGCGTTCCCTGTTTACCGTCACGCTGTTACCATCTTCATCTTGAAAAGAGTAGGGACCAATAATCCCACTACTCCAAAAGCCACACCAAACAGTTACTCTTTTTGGAAGCATTGGTTTTTTTATGACGACATGTGTGGATTTTCAGAACCCCAAATCCTACAGTTCTGCTTGTTAACGTAACCTCCCAGATGGAAATGTGCTTCGTCCGAAATGATGATTTGGCTACCATAATTGGCGTCCATTTCCAATTGATTTAGATCAAACACAGAGGAACGATATCGAAGCGGGTGGTCATTTTGTTTCAACTCTTGCAAAAGTTGCACCTTGTACGGAAATAATCCCAGGTCGTTATGCAATATTCTCCGCACAGAAATGCGACTGATGCCCACTTGTGCTCTGTGACGAAT